CACACACACACACACACACACACATACACACACACACACACACACACACACACACACACACACACACACACACACAACAACGAACTAACAAAAAACACAGGCGCCATCATGGGTATACTATAGCTTCGCCTTTGGCATGTGGATGTAAGTCTGGCGACGCGACTGCTTCGAAACACTGCGCTAATCCAGAGCCACAGGTATTCCACCATGGACAATGTCGACGGCAAGCAAGCCCGCCGCACAGGAACATCGAGTCCGCTGGGGGAGCTTTTCGAGTACGTGATGTAGCCCAATGCGCCAACAATCCATACGAATACTAATTCCTGCGCAGCCATGGAATTGACTCCCTAAACTGCACTCTGGCCAGTCTCCTGGAGACGGCAGCCGTTGGCTATGGTTCGACCAAGATTGGCGCCTTCACTGCTCTTGTACCAGTACTGCCCATGTTCTTCTCGACCTGGGAAACCTACCACACGCATACGCTCTATCTTGGTTATTTCAATGGCCCGACCGGTTTGTCTGCCCAAAACTCGTGACCAACTACCCCTGACTGACACATGACACAGAGGGCTTGATCTTGGCATGTCTATTCATCTGCATGTCGGGATGGTTCGGTCCGGAAATTTGGTCAGAGCCCCTTGCGAACTACTTCCCAACCTACAAGGCGGAAATTGGCGACATCACCCTCAAGGAGCTTTGGGTTCCCATCATCCTCTTCGCCTTCTTCGTTGCCCATCTTCCCGCCTGCATCGTCAACGTTGCGAGAGCACGCCGCGCGAAAAATGAGCCCTTTTTGCCCTTGCTCAAGGAGTGGACACCAATGGTCATCTTCACCGTCTGCACTATGGCTTGGCTCGGATCGCCGTACTCGCACTTGCTCGAGGATAACCATCTTGTCCTTTACTGTTTAACCATGTCCTTAGTCTTCGGTCGTATGACAACCAAGATTATTCTCGCACATCTCACACGCCAGCCTTTCCCATACTGGACCATCATGCTCGCTCCCATGATTGGGGGTGCCCTACTTGTCAACCACCCCTACTTTACCATTCCTGGAACAAGCTTTGGCCCTATCTCTGCGAAATTCGAATTATGGTATCTTCGTGCCTACCTCGTCTTTGCCGTTATCGTCTACGGGAAATGGGCCCATCTTGTCATTACAAGCATATGCGACTATCTTGATATCAACTGCTTGACGATTCCCAAGCAGACCCAGGAGAAGATGTCAAAGACAAACGGCGCAGCAAACGGACATGGCGTTGTCCATCACTCTGAAAAGGGCCGCGTCGACTAAGCAAGCAATTGCTAGGTTAGCACACCAACCATCAACATGAACATCACCATTTCAGCATAGACGCGGCGGCGCATTTGATTCAACCCTGCATGTCGTTCAGATGCGCATCTGCTCTTGACGATAGACATAACGGCGACACCTTTTTTTCTCATTTACACCAGGACTCACGAACCTTTCCTGGATACATCCTATTAATACGCGTAATCGCACGAGACATGCATGGCGGGCCCAAGAATGAGTCCAAGTATGCATGTTTCTATTCATTTCCTATATTCTTGCTCTTGCATAGCAGTTGGCGAATAATTGTAACGTTGGAAGGTTGCATAACCATTCACGACGCAGGTTTGTTGGTGTTTGAGAAGGAATGAAGCACAGCCAGCAGAGAGACAGGCGATAGACGGACAGGTGCTGAACAGCCCTAACCTATTAATTCAGCAAATGAAAGCTTTGGCCCCCAGCGTGGCTGTACCCCAACTAAACAACCTTACGTTTGCTTACTGTGCGACTTGCCCGTGCACATGTACATACTAAATTTCTAAAATTATAGGCACCTCAGCCCCACGGTGATCATAGTGCACACGGATCAGCCCCCACCATCATGGGGTTCTTGGAAAGATTGCAGCCTTTTGAATCTTGTTTGAATCTTGTCTCAGAGGCTCACACTACCATGACGCACTTATTTGTAGGCTGTATGTAAGGCGTGCCGACGGATCTGCAGCAACAAGTCAAGTTGTCTTTGAAGACCATTCTACCAGAGAATGGTCTATAAACCTTTTGACTTGTATTCATTACGATTGCTCGGTTCACACTTCCCATCCCGTACTATTCCACACGCACGCTAGATTCAGCCCAGCCTCGCAGTCATTCTTGCTGAGCTGGCGTCCGCTTTGCAAATACCACGGTGCATGGCCATTACAGACTCATCGAGACTTGTGGCCACCGACGCGCTTCGCGGAGGCTCAGAGTGTGCGCAATATGGGTTGGAAGATACTTGACTGTGCCGAGAGCACACCCGACTGCGCGGCCAGGAACCAGGCTGTAGAGGCGAATCTGGATATTGCTGGGATCGGTGTACGTGTCCATGTGTGTTGTGATGTGAAGACTATTTTTTTTTTTGCTGAAGAAGCAGTCTACAGGTCATTATAGCTTTCCTGTGCGCCACGTGCCTGGCTTTTATGATTGCCTTTGCCGTCATTTTTCTCGATCGATATGAGAATATTGTCGACTTCTTCAGGCGCCGCTTGAGTAAGCAAGAAGATGTGTACAAGAACGACTATACGGGTCCCAGATACTGGCGCTCGCCGGCTTTCTGGTCTCGCGTGCTCAGCAAGAATCTACTCGCCTTTAGCGATACACAGCTTCTCACCGGTCTCGCCATCCAATTCACCGCTATGCTGAAACATTGTCAAATATCCGTCTATCACTTCCGCATTGTTACCGAATTGGCCTTTTTGACCACGGTCACGCATCTGCTCACCGTCATCGCGCTGCGAAACTACTTTGTCAAGAATCGATGGATCAACCTGCCGCGCATCTTCTTCATGCTGGGCAACCTCGCCCTGTTGGGCTACACGTCCTTTGTAGCCTACTCGTACGACCTCGTCGAAGTCGACGTCTCGCAGTCGCTCGCCTGCTTCTTCAAGAGCGAGAGACCGCCCTTTACAGCCGCATTCGGCGGGAAATGGGCTGCCCTGCTCGTCGGCGCCATAGGAGGCCACGCCACCATCATCCTCGCCATGTACTGGCTCGACGACCCCAACAAAAGCCGGACGCTGACACAGAAAACGGTGGCGGATAAAAAGCACCAGCGCAAGACGTGGTGGTACCATGTCGGCGCCACGATACGCACCTGGATCGTTGCCCCCGTGTACTCCATCTACGGCATCTGGATGGCAGGTGACGGCCTACGGCACACGCAAGCGCTCGGCAGGGCCAATGTTGATATCCGAGGCGACGAGCGCGACTGGGGGTTTGGCCAGTTCTTGCCCGTGCTCTTGCTTGCGCTGCCGCTTTTCGCGGGCTGGGAGAGCTTCTGGGAGGAAAAGGATGAGGATCGCGATACGTATTTTGGTCACTGTAAGAGGCCGTCGCGGTGTGGGAGTGAAGAACAGCCCAGAGAGTCGGGTGTGGAGTTGCTGAGATCGGCTGGGGATGGTTCGGTTGGGGGGAAGGTGTGTTGAGGATAAGTATCGATTCAACGGGCTTGAGGAAATCATGATTTCGTCACTGTTGTCGTCGTTGTCGTTGTCGAGATGGTTGCGCAAGGAGACATTCGCGAGACATGAATCGCGACGCGATGAACACGGTCGATCAATCCAGCAGATCATCGTTGGAGAATAAATACTCACCACCAAAGAGAGGAATCGAACCGCACAAGATTTGATGAAAGCGTGGTGTGACCAAGACGACTTGATAGACTTCCTGCTTTGCCGTCTCTGCTCTTGAATCTGATTGTGATGCTAGCGGTGATGCGATGCGATGTGATTCCAGGCCGAATACCCATGAAGGCCAAGTGAGTACACACACAATCGGTACAGTACCTAGGTAAAATCATGGAAATGACGATCAGCGCATAACGACCGTAACTTGTGAAGCGCGTATCAATTCGCGGAGACACAAGATGCGCCTAGCCATCGGCTTACGTCGGGCTACGTCTTTGGACAGTGTTGCTCTTCGGAGCCGTACCTATCGCGATTGCACCTTATGGCGTATCAGCCATCTTACTGTGCTGCTACTAGGTGTCAGACCCACAACAGGCCAGTATGCAATCAGGCAGGGCTGTACGTGCAGGGTTCTTGGGCAGGCTAATGTTGGGTCCCAGAGATAAGGAGAGTGGAGTTTGGGATCGTCTTGGTGTTGGCCCACAAGCTACAAGTGTTACAGCGGGCATGTCAAAGGCTTGGCGGATCGAATGAGGTTGGCGTTGGCGTGGTTTGTTGGACGCGGTGGGAGAGAGAGAGGCATCCTGATTTTTCCCCTTTTGCTGTTCGATGCGAGGAACTTGTCGGTGTTCTTCTGAAGTGGTAGGAATTCCTTGCACACTGAGCCTTCCAGCAGCTTCGCCGTGAAATCGTGAAATCGGACCTTCTGTGGGGCGTGTGTTGGGTGTGTTTCCCCGCAAACCCCAGATCACCAAAAAGTAGCGGCGCATCTGTGCAAATCTCTCAAACCCTAAATTCCCAATTCCAACCCCTCTTCTCGTCGCAAACCATCGGCTCAGCTTACACAATGTGTCCAACGTTCCAAACACGCCTCTTTGGACCTTCTAGAAGCCGTGGGGTCGGGGGGCTCTGGGCTCTGGGCTCATGTCCATTTGAGCCTCAAAACTAACAGCATGTAGGCACGCACATAGGGCCCCCCTATCCTTATCGGTTTGCTTCGGCGTCCGTTGATCGGTTCGGACAGGCGCAGGCCAGCATAAGGAGCGTGCGTGGCCACACTGCCAGAGTACAGGATAAGAGCCGATGAAATGCGCAAGTCGGCCAGGCGAAGCATCAAATCAGTTGCAACCAATCCACTTGCCATCCAAACCAAGGAACGCCTTTCCCCGCCTCTTTGGCAAGGAACGCTTCGGGGCAATGCCATGGTGATTGGCTGTGCAGACTTGGCCTTTGCATGGCACACAATCATGGAGCCAACATGTGCCAACATGGACTCTGGAGAAGATCATGCGTGGGCCCACCGGTGGTGCTCATCATGGATGGCAAGACGGCGGCGCTTGGCTCCATTTGCTCCCCCAGCTTGGGACGGGTCCGAATGCGATGCCATGCTAGTCGCCCATGCCCATGGACTGGGAAAATTTGTCAACGGACCTGCTTCCATAAGGGCTTTGTACTCGTTGCTCCAGGGCTAGGGGTCTATATATTACAAGCTTTTGCCCCGGTTTGCTGGGTGGGACAGTGCGTGTGGGAAACTTCAGTCTCGCATTCCAGCCTGTCACGCGGGTACCGGTACCGTGTAGCCTACCCTGTCCAACGCTGACATCATCGTCATCATCACCATCATGCCGAATCACCACATTGTTGATGGAGGAGTCGATCCTGAGAAAGGCGTGCACGTTGCCCCTTATGGCTATGAGGAGAAGAATGGCACATTCGAGGAACCGTTTGTCCATGGCGCCGCCACCGTCGGTGCTGAGACGGGACGTGGAGGCGATACACATCGTGGACTGAAGAGTCGGCACATTCAGTTTCTGTAGGTTTAGCCAGTTGTGAACATGGGAATGAGAAACAATGGATGATACTAACAGTCGCAAAGCGCTCTTGGAGGTGCCATTGGAACTGGCTTGTTCATCGGTTCTGGCTCCATTCTCGCCCTGGTCGGTCCTGCACCGCTGTTCATGGCCTATCTATCCATGATGATTGTCGTCTGGAATGTCATGAACAATCTTGCTGAGATTGTCACCTATCTTCCCATGAAGGGAATCACGATCCCTTACTTTGTCAAGCGATTCGTGGATCCCAGTCTGGCAGTAAGTTCGATGAGGATGGTTTATGGATGTAGCTTGTATTGACATAGGCCTAGTTTGCTGCAGGATGGAACTACTGGTATGCCTATGCAATCCTCGTCGCAGCCGAAGCCACCGCTGGAGCCATTCTTCTAGACTACTGGGAGACACCCGTTCACAGCGCCGTCTGGATCACCATTTTCCTCGTCGTCGTCCTATTCCTCAACATCGTGGCGGTAGAAGTATTCGGAGAAGCAGAGTTCTGGTTCGCGTCCATCAAGTTCATCACCATCATGGGTCTCATCATCCTCGGATTCGTCATCATGCTGGGTGGTTCCCCCAACGATCAAGGACGACTAGGATTCCGGTATTGGAACAATCCGGGAGCCTTTAAGCCGTATATTGTGGGAGGCAACTCGGGACGATTCTTGGCTTATTGGACCGCTTTTGTTCGTGCCGGTTTCGCCTTCATCACCTCTCCCGAACTCATTGCGCTCGCGGCGGGTGAGACGATTGCACCACGCCGCAACATTCCCAAGGCGGCTGGCCGGTTCATCTACCGTCTTGCTATCTTCTACGGCTTTGGATCCTTCATCATTGGTGTCATTGTGCCGTCCAACGACCCTCGTCTGTTGAGTGGAACATCGGACGCCTCTGCATCGCCCTTTGTCATTGGTATCCAGAATGCGGGTATTGGCGGTCTAAACCATGTCGTCAACGCTGCTGTTCTCACATCCGCCTGGTCTGCCGGGAACGCCTTCTTATACTCTGGCTCCCGCGTCCTCTACGGCATGGCCCTCAACGGCGACGCCCCCAAGTTCTTCGGCAAGACGAGCAAAAAGGGGGTACCGTGGGCGGCCGTCCTGGCCACCTGGGCCATTGGCTTCCTCGCCTATCTCAACGTGTCTAACACCGGTGCCCAAGTCTTCCTCTGGTTCTCCAACATCTCCACCATCTCCGGCTTCATCGCCTGGATCGTCGTCATGACGACTTACCTGCGCTTCCGCAAAGCCATGGCCTTTAACAACATGCTCTCCGCCCTGCCCTACCGCACCGCGCTCCAACCCTACATGACCTACATCATCCTCTTCGTCATCACCCTCCTCACCATCACAAACGGCTTCCAAGTCTTTGTCCCCGCGCGCTGGAAAGTCGCAGACTTCCTGGCGGCCTACATCACCCTCCCCATCTTCCTCGCCCTCTACTTTGGCCACAAGATTTACTACCGCACCCCGTTTGCCATCAAGGTCCAGAATATCGACGTCTTGACGGGAAAGCGGGAAATGGACGAGCTCTGCAAAGACGATATTTCGGGCGCGCCGGTGCCCAAGAATTTTGCGCAGAGGATTTGGTTTTGGATTGCGTAGTGGGGAAGTGTTGGGTCCCAGTTGGGGCAGTTGGTATTTGTGCGCGTCGTCGTGTCTTGCAGTTTATATATATACGTATATATTTTCGGTACATGCAATCATATACCCTCTCGCCATCTTGATGATATTACGATATTACACTTCTTCCCGCCCGTAAATCCATAGACAGTGTCACACTTTTCCCCCATGCTCCACATCACTGAAGTTCCTCTCTCTTTGCATATCTAAACTAGTCGCCCTGTCATGAATACCTTCAAACCCACATCCCACAAACCTGGGATCCATCCACAGCTATACCATCCCATCACAAAAACACTCCTTCCTCCCCCTCCCCCACAAAACCACAAACACGACTTACAATCATGGTCTGGGATGCCAGCATCACAATCACCATACCTATGCCCGCATCTCCCCCTCATAAACACAAGCGCGGTAGTACAGCCTAGTTTCTTTGCACACGGGCTACCCCTCCTTCCCCCCGCGTACTGCAACCATACTGCGGAGTCAGGTGTCGAAGTCCTTTCATCAGCTCGCTCGCCGTCATGTATGAGAGGTGTTGGGATGTGGCGTGTGATGGTACTGGTAGATGGATATCCAATTGGAGAATGATGTTGGGTTGTTCCTTTTTGGCTGAGTTTTGAAAGGGATGGATTGGATTGGGTTGCTGGATTTGCTCAGGGGTTTTTTGTTTTGGGGGTGGAGGGGATAGGATGGTGTGGGGAGTGAGGTTGTTGAATGAGGTTGTTGAATGAGGTTGTTGAATGAGGTGTTGATGTGGCGATGGGATGCTAGGGTTTTGATCAGGCCTTGTATGGACATTTTCGCTGCTATAAGAGTATAGAGCAACGATGTTAGGAAAGATGATCGGGTGCTGCGTGCATTCTTGTTAAAAAAAGAACTCACCGTCTCGAACAGTCAAGTCATGGGGAAAAATACATACAGTCTGACCGAGCCCTGCAGAGAAAACCGCAAGTCGCACACGAAGCAAAGCCAGTAATCATGGTAAAAAGCTTACTTCAGTACTATTAAATGACTTGAACTAAAAGGCCGCTCAGCGATATTGTGGCAACCACCACAACTCCAGAGCGCGTGACAAACTTATGGATATAGCATGACCCCAGACGCCCCGCCATACGCGCAAAAAGACGAAAAGAAAACGCTAAACGGCAAAGAACGCCGGCTATGGGAGCAAATTGTGGGAGAGGAAAAAAAGCCCTTCTAGTTCCATGCCTTCCGCAGTATATGTGTGTTCGTGTGTTCAAGAAAGCAAATGCATCATCGCTCAATTTCGGTTCGTCATATCCCGTTTGCTTTCATCATGACCAAGGACAATTAGTTCCGCATGGGGAAAGAAAGTTCAGGCACGGATACCAGTACCACCAGTCCAGCGGAGTTTTCGGAGACCAAGTCCAGTGCTCTTGATAGCTTCTTTACCGCATCGTCCTGCGTCGCTACCAGCGGTACCCATCTGTCCAACGGCTTCGGCCTGGCCAGTCTCCTTGCCCACGACGTAGCCAGCCGAGAAGCTCAGGGCACTAATGAGGACGACGACACCGGCACTGACTACCCAAGTGAGAAGTGTAGGGCTAATCTCTTCAATGACGAGGCTAGTCTTGCGTGCCTTCTTCATGGTGCGGCGGTCCTTGCTGCTGTTTCGTGTGGCGGCTGCAGTGGGTGGGCTCGCCTTCCGCTTGGACTTGCCGGCCGGACAGCTGCTTGCAGTACGTGGCGAAGACGGCTCTTCAGATATATCGCCCAGTGCGACAGACTCTGGTACCATACGTAGTGTGGTTGGATCGAGTCGAGCCGATGACGGAGGAGGCACTGTGCGAGGCTGGCCCGGTTTCGGAAGGCCTCGCACGGCAGCAGCAGCAGACAGAAGTGTGGATAGGCTTGCACGAAGTGCCTCATCGTGGTCAGGTTGGTAGCTTGGTGCCAGAACATTGTAGGGTGTGTGTTGTGGGTACGAATGTTGACGCTGTGACGAGGGTCTGGCGTTGCGACGAGGGGTGTACACTGTTCCCGACTGTGGCCTTATAGGTTGTGGCTCATTCGCGTGAGAGAACGCGTTTGGACGAGGTTGAAACTCCCGTCTTGTGGATCGAGGGTAGTTGACGGCTGTGGCGTTCTCATCGTCATCTTCGTCGTCGTCCTCTCGCTCCGACGTTGTCTCTGACGACGCGACAGACAGCGGATTGCGACTCGCGCGGCCAACCTCCTGTCCCAGTGGCGAATGCCCTAGGCCTTCTGTCGACGATGACAGTACCCGATCTGACTCGCTTTCGCTCTCCTCATACTCCTCCTGGCTACTACTCTCGCCCGTGTTTGCAACCCTGTGGCCCGTGCTGGTCTGGAACTGTTTGCTGGCTCGCAGACGACGGTTTCGCCTGTGCAAGTTCGAGTCGTGCTGGACAGTGAGGCCTGTCGTAATGATCTCGTCTGTAGCAGAGGACAGGGAGGATGAAGAAGGCCGTGACTCGATCTCGATCCAAGACTCTATGCAACGTCAGATTTGTGGTAGATGAGGAGCGCGGCGATGCTTTGGCAGACAGGTAGGACAGTCAACGAGGACTGTATGTGTATGCTACAACGTACCTTCCGAACGCCGCCTGGTGGGCGCATCTATTGATCTTAGAGGCGCCATACTTGGGGTTCTTATTGCCAAGTCTCCACGCCTGTATTCTGCCTTGCTCCTTGTGACGGCCGGTTCTCGTGCATCAATAGGGGCGCCGTGGTATGCGACAGGTCAACTCCCTCGAGCCACGGTATATGGAATCAGTACACGTATGTACGCAAGACAATAGACAGACTGGATGCGATGGGGACCACTATGCCGCCTGGGTGGACCCTGAAATGTGGTCCGACTTCGGTTCTTTGTTCAGCCTACAAGGTCTCCAACCGTAGAGTTGAGATGAAAGAAGACGCGCCGAGGTAGCGTGTCGAGGAGCAGTATGAAGGATGCAAGACATGCAACTTTTGACCTTGCACTTCGCCTTGCCTAGTCGCCGGGAGCGTAGTTGGAGATAAGAATACCAAGGCCTGCCTGTGGAGGTCGCGAGCTGACGCTATGCTAGAGGCTGGCGTTTCGGTCCGGCACGCGATGGTCTCTCGAACTGGCTGCGCTGGCACCACGGTAATGACGTCTGGGCGGGGGGAAGGGGGAGTGTAGATCTGGATTGTCGCGCTTTGTGGGGCATAAACACAATGCACATGGGCACAAAAGCCAGAGGGGATCGAGAGTCAAAGTCAAGAAGGGGGTGAGAAGAAAGCTGCAGGCAAGGGAGCGACAAAGTCAACTTGATGGACCAAGGCAAAAGAAAACAAAAAAGGATGACGGATGCTTGCTCCCAAGGCCTTCCTCCCCGTATGCTGCTGGCGTAATGCAACAGCCCGACAGGTCACGTCGACAATGTATGGACGCCGTCGACGAATCACGAGCCCCCCACGCCCTCGTTGTGTTTCGAGGCGGGGAGAGGAGAACAGGAATCCATCCCACCATGATAGCCTCATCATTAGCTACAACCCTGTCCTGTCTGCGCGCGAGACATGAGCCTATTAGCTGTGTGGTCGGCTGCCTAGTAGTACTTGCTTCCCTCTTCTACTCTATAGTAGCGACACAACCATGTTGATCCTTTCTCGCCTTGGCCTGTGGACGTGCAGGGCCTCCGTGGTCTTGGGACTGGGGGCTCACATCCCACGCGGGCCTTGGGGTCTCATGCTGAGAGGAATCGGGCTTCCCTTCTTGTCGTCAATCACAAGGCACCATGACCGACCCCATGATGATCGCCCGTCTCTGGACTCATGCGTGCTTTCATTAGAGTACCTACTGTACCTCCATATAGCCATTTCTTTCAACGGTGAACCCCATTCCCCATCACGAGTCATGCTAATCACTTTGCCAGTCGGACCAGGCTAGAATAGCGAGACATGTCTGCTGGAACGATATTCATAGAATGCATCTACACATCAATACCCCCAAGACCCCAACCCTACGTGAAAATGTTACAAGTGTTTGACACCATTCTATGCTAAGTACATGTAGATCCCGAAGTCGGTGATCTCTATACACATGGGTATTGCTCGCAGAACCCTAAGCCGAAGTGAAGGTGCAGATGAATCCAAATAAGTTGCGAACATTCCATCCTCTTATGCGCACGTGTCTGACCTCGCCATTCATGACTACCGTCATCCCTTGTTTTCCTCCTTCTTCTTCTCCTCCTTCTTCTCCTCCTTCTTCTCCTCCTTCTTCTCCTCCTTCTTACTCTTGAAGAAATCGCTGATCCCATCCTTGAACTTTTCCCACGGCGTCCTGTTCAAGTGATTGCTGAGCTGGCGGTATTTATACATCTCCGCCCAACAATCACGGCCCCACTCACAGCCTGCCATGTTGACCATGAAGTCGCGGTCCTTTTCCTGGTAGTGAATGTTGGGATCATTGCCTTCGTCTCCACAGGCCCCAGGCGGAAAGCTCATAATCTCGCGTTGGTGAATAAAGGCAACGTGCGGACGAATCCATGGCTGGTTCTGGTACATGTACTCAAACGCATCCTGCTCCTTGTGTTCCCACTCCATATGCTTTTGCTCGTAACCAACGGGATCCCACCAGATATCCAATAGTCTGTCAGTCCATACACTTCTCCGCACCATGAACGATCCCAGGTTGAAACCACCGCAGTCCTGAGGAATCAGCATGTTGATCGAATCCACTTTGCCATCGCCGACCGGTGATCGTGTTTCGGGGTCCAGATACTCGTCCGTCAGAGGGTGGGTGATGTTCAGTGGGTTGTAGACGTTGATGTCGCGATAGGTGATTTCGGGAAGGCGTTTGAAAATGTGCTTCTGGAGAGAATACGAGGGCTCCATGATGAAAGTGTTGGTGTCGAGCCACCAGAACCTGGGAAATTGTCAGTGGTAGGCGGCTGTTATCTAGAAACTCAAGTACCATTCGGCGTGCGGGTATTTGCGCATCGCATTCCGGATCGTGTCCACCTTCTCCCAGCTCTCTCTCCACTCGTGAGCATAACGCTTCTTGGTGCTCATGTCGACAATCTCAAGGTCGTAGCCCCACTTCTGTGTGTACTTCTTCTTGTTCTTCACACTGTCTCGCTCGATTGCCCATTCTCGAGGGCCTTTCCATTCCATTACACCTCCTCCCTGGTTTGCAGCGAGAATCACAACAAATTTGCTGCCGCCGCCCAACAAGGCGGATCGCCTGTATAACCGATGTAGTGCTGTGCTCGTCAGGATGCGGTGGACTGAGAGTATGGTGTCGCAACTTACGTGAGACATAGAAAAGGACAACGCTCAGCAGGACGAGTAACAGCACTCCGACCGATCGTCTTAGGCGCCAAATATTCTTTCCGATGCGATTCAGTATTTGTACAACTCGATTATTCTGAAATCGGCCACGACTAAGATTCTCCTTGTCTCCATTGTTGAAGGGAAGGCTCGCAGATAGGCTCCGAAAGTGCCTGCTAAGAAAGCCCTGTCCACGAGGATTGAAGCCATTGTATCCCTTCACTTCGGCGCTCCGTGCCTGCGCCGAGGCCCACGTAACGTTGTGTGTGGAGGAGCCATTGGCAAACGGGCTGCGGCGTCCGCCTGTATCGTACGGCGTGTTTAGACCTGGACTTGACCAGCCTCCAGGCTGTGGTGACGACGTTCTCGACATGCTGGAGACACCAGGTGTGCCAGGTATGGTAGGCAGGGCGTCACCGAGGGAGCGCCCTGAGAGACCGCTGGTCGTGCCTAGCCGGCCTCGAGCCTCGGCGACTTCTGGGAGATTAAGATTAGGCGGCTGTCTGGCCGCAGAGGAACGCCGTCGGCGTTGACCAACAGAAGCAGAAAAGGACGATGGGGAAGCCAGCGTGAATTTAAGGCGAGTGGAGAATGCGCAGAATGTAGCGACGCCGCCAGGGTCTGGCGTGGGAGAACACACGCACGGTATGCTGGGGGCGGCGGTTGGGGTGCAATGGCACTGACGGTGAGAAGCTTAGCGGTGTGGTGACGCAAAAGCAAGGCGTGGAATTGGATTGAGGCCAGCTGGCGAAGAATTGCGACTTCTCAAATGGCGGCGTGAGGCGGTCACACTGGAGTTGGAAGGGAGCGTCGAGGATAAATGTGGTGCGACCTCGGAGGACGGCTCGTGTCAATGGCTCAGGTCAGGGTGAGAGCGACGGCGGGCTGCGTTCACTACAGGCACGCCAGGAGAGCTGTTGTGCAGGGGAAAAGGAGCGCGCTGTTTGATGATAAGATTGCCGCTTTGAGCCAGCTGCTTGGCGTCTGCAATCTCTCAAAACCTTCCATCAGGACTCCTATAGTCCAGACTCCACTTCGACCTACCAGCCCCAGCAGCCCGCTGGCGAAAACAATACTTCGGGCATTCAAAGTCACCACTGACTACATGCAAGCATGCATGCCATATGCTCACGACGACAGTGGCAGATCTGAGTATTGGCGAAGTCCTGACATGACGGGCTACCTAGCAGCAGTTTCCAAGGTTCTCTCTGCGCTGTGGTTAAGAAGCACATGGAGTCAGAAAGTATCGCATCAGTACTATACCCTGACTCCACCTGTTTATGCTCACTCGCATAGCTACACCAATGACGTTACTGCAAGGCTGCTGAAAAAGATTGACCAACACGAATGACAGCTGTCAGCGGTCCGAGGGCGTACTGCGCACTGCGAACTATACAGTTGGTTCTTCCGTCACTCCCTCGTTTGCCCATGTTACTTGTACTTGTGTCGAGTTTTGGACGTTTGTGTTCCACATATTTCAAGCATGCTGCAAACAATCACGACTTGGGAAGTCCTTTCCGCCTTGGACGCTCCCCAGACTTGACATGCTCACGGAGGGATGTCGAGCCTGTTGCTCAAGTATGTGGCAATACAGTTGTGCTATGGCAGCTCAGATTGGAAGTACTTCTACTCAAATGCATATGAACAGTAATGTAGCCATCTAGCGCATATAGAAAGCCACATGCACATGCTATGCCTAGGTACACACACCTCTTTTACCCCGTCCTGCGTGGTTCTGTAGTATGGCTGATGATGAATGCACAGGACATTGCGCCGAGCAGATGCGTCAATGTTTCGAGAAAGGATCCTCTGACGGAAAACTAGGTGACTCACGGCTATAGTGTGAGATTCTAGTCACTGCAAGCCATACATTTTATAGTCGTCAAAAGTCCGTTTCAGCGTATGAGGAGATGCAATCGAAGGCCCAGGTCGACGCATGGTGACCTTGGCTAGAACAGGCTAGACCCTTGATTAGCTTCCTTGGCATCGGGACAACCCTCACCACCGGTTGGCGGCTTGGATTTGTTCGCTGAATGAACTGGCGCTTAGCAACTGCATCGCACGCTTCTCACTGGCCCACGCTTCATTTGACTGGCCACCACATCCATTTCGGCCTCATTGAGCGTCTCAGACATTGCATCGTGTAGTACATCTCCAGCCTAACGAATCCCGGGCGGTTATTGAGCCTCAAAGCTCAGAAGATGGCGCCCACTATGAAGCAAAGAGGCCCCGCCCCGTCCAATCATATCCATCCTCAACCCCGTCCTCTAGTCCAACTGCAGTTGACAACCTTCCGGTCGAGCCAATGTACCAGCGCTTCTAACAAGTGACTGGGTACTTCCAAGATCCGGGCAATGGATACTATGCAATATGCGGTATGGCGAACGGCCAGCATGTTCATATCTTCTGACTTGCGTGTTTGTGTTGGATGCTCACAGTTCCCCTTTCGTCTTTCGAGTGCTCTTGTTTTACATTCACTTTCTTTTCTCTTTTGGCAAATTATCATCGTTGTTCACTTCTTCTTCTGTTGTCCTCGTTCATTTGTTCGGTGATAGGCTGCGCCTGATTCCAAAACCTACACAATAGCACAATAGCATAAACGGCCATCCTACACAACGCCGTGATCCATTGTCTGGAGTCCAGGTGAGAACAAGGCATTGTTCTTCGATCCTGCCTTTGATCCAAATCACATAATTCCCACATTCGTTCATTCGCCAACCCAGACTTAGCCTTCGGGAAAAGCCACGAACGATTCGCATCATGAGCACAGAAAGAGCTGGCCTCTTCAGCCGACAACCACCATCGACCGCGCCGCAGATAATACACGACCACATAGATCCAACCGATAGCAGTAACATGACATACAATTCCTCTTACCAGTCACACGATCAGGAGGAACAGATTCTGGTGCATTTCAATGAGCACCCATACGATAATTTTGAGCAAAATAGGACGGAGAGATGGGAGAATGAAGCTCCGTTTGCCGCCCACCGGGCATCGACGAGAAGCAGTACGAAGTCGTACTCGGCGCGCATGACACGCCAAAAGAGTCGCAGAAGAGAGCTCCGGGGCAAACAAGGTAAACCAGGCATCACTGTCGACACAAGCTTCACAAGACATAGGGGCGGTGCGCCACATCAAGTCTACCCCCAGGGTGATAGTAGAAGCAGTGGATCGATCAGAAAAAGTCCTTGGTTTGGATTGGGAAGATCGTCTACCAGGAACAAGGGCCTGGGTATCACCAAAGGAACTCCTCAACCTGAGGTGACACCTCGAGCGAAATCCAGCGTTGATAGGAATGACGCTACGGCTGTGTCACTGACATCAAGTGGCAAGCCATGGCAGGACATATCGCCATGGGATCGGCGCATCCCCATTGGCATCTCTGTACCCACGGAGAGCATATCCGATTTTAGCTCCTATCAGCCTCCACGGCCACGTGCTGCGAGCGATGCCACAGTAGTCACACCGAGTATCATCATCACACCCGCCGCAGCGATGCAATCAGTCTGGTCACCGGATACACCATTCACCGAGTCTGACTATACACCAAGTGTGTACTCGCGTCATCCATTTCCTTCCAACAATACGGATGTTCCGCCAGTCCCATCTCTGCCCGTTGGTCTACCAGAAACGTCTGGAATCACTTTTGGTATTGAATCGAGGTCCGAAGCCGATGGTACATATAATCATATAAGGAATGATACCCTCGATTCCGCTGGGACGGCATTTGAGGAATATGATGATTCAGGAGGAAAGGATCGCATCATGTCGTCTGGGACTATGTTCGAGGAGGATGAGACACCACTGCAGGAAAGAACGATAGATACGTCATTGGCGATTGACACTTCGTTGGTGCCTACGCCGAGAAGATCACAAGGATGGTGGAACGTGATCACGACTCCTTTTGTAACAACCCCCAATACAGCGACATGGCGTAGTGGAGACAGAACGCCAGAGGTGCCGACACTTCCAAGCCAGTTTGGTTCGAACAAAGAAATTGTCCCAGTTCTGTCCGTGACAACCTCACCCCCAGTCTCGTCGACGCAGGCAGCCAGCGGAACAGCCTCGCATGTCGAGAAACAGTCCCAGGCAGAGACGGATGATCACCAGGACGTCAGGACGATCACTGTCAATACTAATTTTGCGAGCACCACGCAACAATCGGTCGAACAAACGGATTCAACGACCAACAGGACTGTAGCCTCCCCTGGCTCCGTGATGTCGGCTTCACCTATTCTTGGTACAGCAGCAATGGGAACTGTGCTGATGCCGCGTCAAGTGGAAGAACAGCCGCGGAACATCAACATTAATATTGAGTTACAAGACAGACGGCCCATTGTGAACAGTCAGACTGTAGCAGCAAATGGAATGACGTCCACGCAATATACGTCCACGTTTGCGCCAGCAACACAATCGAACAACGCACCTACGCAACAGGCCCGCCATTCACCGCAACCCCTACCAGTCTTTGCTCCACCGCCAACTTCTGCTCAGAAAGTCTCGCATTTTAGCTATGACAACCTCAGTCGATCCAGCTCGACGGCTTCTTCTCCTGATTTGAAGAAGGCGAAAAAGCACCGCAAAGTCGGCAATCTCACAAGTATGCTGTCTTTTGGAAAGCGAAAGTTCTCGAAGCCGGCTGGCCAAGACGAGAAAAAGAAGACAAAGAAGAGGGGTGTTTGTTTTTGGGGCTGTTGTTGCTGCCTCGTTTTCATTCTCATCTTGGCAATTCTCATACCCGTGGTAGTCATTCTCGTGAGGAAGAATAACAACGACAATCCTACCTCGACGACGCCATCGATGACGCCAATTCCAGATGGCGGCAGCCAGTGGCTGGACATACCCAACTTACCACCTATGCCGACTGGTATTTTGACAGTTGCACAACCTGAAGCTGTAGAGGAAGAGAGTGGTTGTGTGGCGCCTACGACACTCTGGAGTTGCGCGCTGCCCAAGGAGCTTCAAGCTTCTGTAGCACCCAACAAACCGGATCAGCCAAATTTCAGAATCGAAATCACTTTTGAGAACGGGACGTCGGCACAATTGCCTACTAGCAAGCGTATGGCACGGGCAGTGAACCCAGTCTCAGCAGGGGCCTTCATTCGATCTCACCTGCTTCGACTACGTGCGGCTGCCTCACCATCGCCTGCACCACCGAGTACTGCGGATATGAGATTCCTTGGGCAGACGACGGATGGAAACAGCGCTCCGTTTGAGGGTGAAGCCACGCCCTTGTTCCTGAGCTTCCAGGAGGCCAAAGCCAGTACATCGCGGCTGGCGGTGCGAGACGATCCAAGTGATCCTACCAACATCACTGCCGTCATACCGCCCCCGATGCTGAACAGTGACGGAACTGCGGCACCAGCGAATCTTGTACCCCTCCCGTCTGGCCAGCCTCTGCGGCTGTACAACCGGGGAAAAGACAATGAGTACTATGGCTTCTACACGTACTTTGACCGATCCATTTTCCTCAAGCAGATCAACGGCACCAACCGTGGTGGCAACCCTGCGGATACAGACGGAGGGAGTACGCGAGAGGCGGCCAAGTTGCGATGCACCTATGCACAAAGCCGATTCCTGGTGCAGATCTGGACACGCAGCAAGGACAGCAAGCCTTTGTTGCAGAGCTCGACGGCCAACAGCTCAGATGCGTTCAAACGGCCTGGAACGTTTCCCTATCCCGTCACGTTTACTCTCGATCGGCACGGTGGGGACGCAGCAAAGAAGAACCTGTACTGCTATGAGATGGAGGAGGATGGGACGATCAGGGATGATGCAGCATCACGATCCTTTCAGTTTGAAGATCGTGCGTTTGGTGGAAATCTGGTGAATGGCACCCAAGGTCGCACGAGTGTGAGTGGACCGATTGATGGGGGCACGGGGGGGTGTCGGTGCCAGTGGCAAAACTGGCTGAGTTGAAGGATGCCATGTGGTGTTCCCCAGAGGACTTGTACAAGGCTCTTGAGGTTTGCATGTGCAATTCGGCGTTGTTTTCTTTTTCCTGTTGCACGGCTTTCCAGAACCACTGGATGGGCGGGTGTGTGAGGAAAACATGTATCTAGCTTGGATCACGACTACTACAGTCAGTAGAAGTAGGCGACACGGAAGTATAATGTCCGGCATGATCATGATCAAGCCATGGAAATCCCCCCAAAAGCGCACGGAGATGACGGCGCGATGTTGCGGTACATTCCCGGCATGGATGTGGAGGAGTGGAGGAGCAGCTAGAGTAGAATGAGGAGACGACAAGGGGTGGTGGTGGTGGTGGTATACTACCTATACTAGTAGTGGTGAATGTCTAGTACTGCTGAGCTGGTTGTTCCGCAGAGCAGGCGAAGATGGCCCATTGCCCCACCAACGCTAACCCCGCCGGCCTTGGGTCCGAGCGCAAGAACAGCTGGAGACCTCTCAACTCAGCACGTTCTGGCCTCGAGGAAAAAAACACTATTACCCAGGTATCGCGTCCTT